CGCACTCTGTCCCTCCCCCCCCCTCCCGCCACATTCCACGCAATTTCAACAGGCAAATGGTGAACTCTTGTACAGCCCACGTTGACATCCAACTTTGAGGAAATGCATTTTATTCTGATTTCATTCAAAGTGCTACTAATCAATAATGATATATAAACACGTGATGATAAATAGTTCTGATAGATAACAGGAATGAATGTTGTTCAAAATTACGGGGTAAAATTCTCACGTATTGCTTTCAGGAACGTGGAGTTGTGTGACCGCAGAGTTCTTTGTGAAACGCGAAGTGACCCACCATGTCATGCAATCCTACGTGCCCACTACCCTAATCGTCGTCATATCATGGTAAGCTACTCCTTCATCGAATAGAAACTCTGACTTGTACATTGTCTGGGTTCCGCAATTCACTGACCGTAGACCATGACGCATTCAAATGCCATGTTGGCCCTGAATGGAATCGAAAGGCGTGGCGCATCCCGAAAGGGACTGAGCAACACCGGGACCTTTGCTTTTGCCTAGTAATACGGATAAACTTCCGAAAATCTTTTTTTCAGGTTTTCATTCTGGCTTGACGTCGATGCGGTTCCTGCTAGGGTTTCTCTGGCGATTACCACTTTGCTCACTCTTTCCACGCAAGCCAATGCTGCTAGAATGGCACTACCAGAGGTATTTATTTTTGCTCCACAAATTTTTACAGCTAAGGGCACTATTTTCTGCATTTCCCACGTCATTTTGCACCCACCAGGGTGTGAGCTGGATAATCGAATTAAATGGGGTGTAGGATGAAGTTGGTGGAGTAAAATTTTACTCTATATATTGTCGTGAAAGCCAGAATGGTCAGGTTATGTCCAAGATGGGGTGACAGATGCATGAGACCGAGAAGGCTGTGGTTTCACAGATGACACGGGTCAGAGTTGACCTCGGCTTCAGTCCTCTTGGAGATTGATTTTCGTTTCTTATTTCTTGCTGATTTGCTGAGCTGATTTCTGCCAAAACATGAAAGGGCTAATTGGGATGTAGTCGGCATGCGATGCGATGTGATCTGATATTTAAGTCCTGGCCCTGCTCTGGGATGTTGGGTTTTCAGATTTATTCACTTTACACTTATTCAGGTGTCGTATATGAAAGCGATCGATGTATGGATGGGAGCCTGCATGATGTGAGTCCTTTATAGATATCATTTTATTCCCCTACTGGTCTATGTACATAGAATCGTATGCTTCTGCCATGCGCTTGCAGTCAACCAATTTTTGCCATTCCAGAGGGAAGGGTCGTTTTTTGTGATTTTAGTGTGGAGATTTGGTTGTATTTGGGCGAAATAAGGTCGTAGATATTGCTGGTAATTACAGCAAGAGAAGCGGATCTATCCAGAATTAGGCAGATTGTCGCGGGAAATCCTCTCAAAAATTCGGAAATTTCCACTTTCTTGAAAGTTTCCCTAGTTCACACTTCCATGTTTCAACAAGTTACGCCCTCATTGAGAAACACTGAAGCAGTCTTGAAAGTGTTAGGCCGAAAGTCTCTAAGATAGAACAAGGGTTGGACACCATTAACTATGCGTAAGAGGTTGGAGAGAGTAGGCATAGAGGTCTGGGAAAAAACGGGGGGGCCTCGTGGGGGGGGGGGTTGGGGTGGGTGTAAGAGGTTGAAGCTGTTTGCTGTGGTCAAACTTGCGACGGATTAGTGTTATGTTGCGAGTTTGTTGAGAATCGAGACAGCCGTCGGTCAACAGGAACCAGCAGGTAAACTACAGATCTCGTAAAGCACCTTAATGCGGCTTCACACGGCAGTTAATTAACATTTAGCAGGTAGCGATTAGCGCTTAACAGCCTTGCCCATTACAGTATCACCTACCCTAGAAGCCCCCAGTTCTTTTCAAAATGGACAGCCAGGAGGGCTTCTTTACACGGATTCCATAACATTTGGCCAGGTACCACCAACGCTGTGTTAGCAGTAAGGCTTCATAGGACATTCAGAATATTCTCACCTCAATCAAGTTGTGAAAAATGACCTTTATTCTTCTTTGTTCCGAATACAGATGTAGACAAAATGCACAAAAGGGGCGCGATCTCTTTTAGCGGATTCTCCTTTCCAATAGCCCAGCAATTTAGCCACACCCGACTAATGGCTTATTTTTCAGATAAACGCTTAAAATGAAGGCCAATTAATGGCCGTGTAAAACAAATCACATAAGAGCGGAACGTGGTATTGCCAATGGCAAGTGGCACGCTTACAGGGAGCGGTCTGGGAGAATCAATTCTGGCGGGTCGTAAGTCAGGCCAAGCAACCAAGGGGGCCTGTTTTTTTTTTCTTCCCTTCATCCCTCCGGGGTCGGTTAATTGGTACCAGACTTGTCTGGGAGGATAAAAAAACACTGACTTGTACATCGGCTGGCCCCCGCAAGTCATTGTATAGGCCACATCGCATTCAAACGCCACTACGAATGTACAAATGGAAGTAGAATGCGTGCCGCATCCCAAAAAGGGATTGATCAACGGCAAATGCTTTATCCTTTTTGTGCTTTAAACAAACTCACGTGAGAAAGTGTACTTTTTAGGTTTGTTTTCGGAGTGATGATCGAGTTTACAATTGTCAACTACGCCCAGCGCCAAGGTTGCAACTTTTACATCGATGCAGGATGAACTGCTTCGTGAACACTAATACTTATAGCTTCCACTCCACATCCAACGAGAAAGCCGCCGGAAGGTCTCGTTCAAAAAGCACATCGCGTTTTCGACAAGTTTCGTGGTCGAGGAGAGCACCGAACCAACTCTGGAGGAAGTAAGTTGTTCCAGCTCAGAACCGGAATGGAAAAAGCTATGCATAAGCAATGTGTGCCCAATTTGCTCGAAAGTTCTCACCATCAACCTATCATAGACACAGTCCGCCACCGAGAGGTGAGAGGTGTTTCAAAGGCGGCTCCCACTCGGGTAAGGCCTTGGTAACTAGCTGCGGAGGCTCCTTCGCCGGCGAAGGCAGTTCGGCAACATTTTGCTCCTCAGAGAATCTGGGCCTTCGGGTTAGGCATATCTCATGTTCAACATCCATTTTATCACCTTTGCTTTAAAGGAGGAATTCACGATTAGAATGAAGGTCGAAGAAAGGGAAACTGACCTAGTTGAGGGACCCACGGACCTCCTGAGGGTGCGAACTGACGCGCAATTCGCATGGAAAAATTTGACCTCGGCGACCTATCATGCCTCAAAGCTGGCGGGTCCGGCGATCTCCGCCCACCGATCATCTGATCACTCGCCGTAGTTCAATACGTGGCGAGTGATTAGATAGCTGAGAGAGCGTAGTGTTGAAGAGGGCACAGCGATGAGAGTCGCATCAATGCTCGAATCAACGGGCAAGGAAGGGTACCATTTCTCGGGTTCTGGGCCGTTTCTCATGGTTCTTCCTTTTTCGTGTACCACTCACCATCCCTAGGTTAATTTGAAATGGGTTGCTTTTTCATCGTGAATTCGTCCTTTAAGACACGCCACAAAGCTGTTTGTTATCTTTTTGAAATAGTGATATATTTCCGAATTATGGGTACTGTTTCTCATGTAACAGCGAATTCTTCACGTTTTGTGAGAGCCACTTTGCATTTTTAGTTCAAAATACTTAGAGGACCTCTTTTGCAGCAACGCTGCAACCCTGATGATTTGACTAACATCCAGAGTGAGCGACTACTTTTCGTTGCTGGGCTTACAGCACGCTTACTTCTCGTCTGCATAGATTGGAATTGTTTAATAATCAATTGAAATCTTCTCCTTTGGTTACTATTGTCCCGCTCTTTCGGTGACATCATGACATCTTCGGTGACATGTTCGGTGGAAGGACGTTAGAGCGAAGACTAGCCCTGTACACAGCCGCATGAGGAGCTACTTCACCAATTGGCGTCCAATGTTGGATGTCATCAAACCCCATCTACCTCTCAAGCATCGTATTCACTGCCTTTAAGTTCTTATAATTCATCTCTCAAAACGTTCAGCCCTATTAGGCATGTAGAACAAAAACAAAAAATACCGGCTACCATAACACGTCCATTCATCTATCCGTTCAGGAAGACCTTTTGGATCACGTCATATTCAATGGAAACATGTATGACACGCTATCCGGCAAAAACTCGGAGAATATTGTGTCGCCTCGAAGCAACAAGAAGGTAAGAAGGGCTTCCTCACATAAAAGAGTTGGGCTACAGATAGCCTAGAGGCGCTCATGTCCTTAGGGGACATCTACAACAGGGCCGATTGAAGGTGGCATCACGGCTAAGCCCAAGAGGGGGAGAAATGGCATGGAGCACACATATTGGCTTGTACTCCACAGAATCCTTACCTGCCTGAGGCTGCGTCCGAGACACTTAATTTGTCTCATCATGGACTGTCCCCCCCCCCAAGAACATGAGGCAGTAAGTTACAGCAGGCAGGCTGGAGCCACGTTGCGTGCGAAAAGTGAACCGAAAATTTCAGGGGGCTAAGGTGGACTCTGATGTTGAGCTCACACAGGAAATTACGACCGAGCCATGGAAGGATAAACCCGATGAGAAGGCAAAAAGGTGATAGTCTCATTCAATGGCTGTTTTTCTCAATCAGTAATTTTAGTGGTGAAGCAAATTTCAAATTTACTAATCTTATGAGTGATGAATATCATTGTATTATTTACTATTCGTACTGAGATGTAGACAAGTATAATACTCCCCAGTAATGTGGTCGTGCAAAAGACCTACAAGGATTGCCGGTTCTATGGGAAAAAGCCCAGGCGAGAACCACACTCGCACCTATCATTTCCAAGAAGTTTTGATACCGATTACATCATCGGGGCGCCGTGTCACCTCAAAGGCATATTTCGCGATTGGATAAGTGTGTGAATGGGTTCGGATTGATTGTAGTAATGGGTCCATTACTAATTAAAGAGCAAAAGGTTGTAAAGGCAGCGATTACGATAGATTCTGGAGGGGTTTTGAGTGGACGTGAGGGTCTCAATAGTACGCCAATGGCGAAAAAAGCAAAGAAATCCGTCAAAAATAAGCAAAATAGTACCCCTTTGATTGCCCTTTCATTTTCGACCATGGATGAGCGACGGTAAAGAACGACGTTGTTCGGACGTGTTAACCCCGATAGCCGCCATCATGCCAACAAGCAGTGTTTTGATTGATAAGGCATTACATGGGCAAGTTGGCTTGAAAGGGAAATGATCTTCCAAAATGAAAAGCCAACAGCAAACAGCAAGCCACCAACTGAACTAGTATGTGAAATTCCGAGGCGGAGTGTTTCGGAAGTCCAGAACACCTTTCGTCGTGAAAGTGCTACATTTCGTTTCCTTGGCAGCCATGTAACTGCTTCGTGTCCTATACGATCTTCACCTGGTCAATTACTGAGAACTTTGTGTTGCTACGAGTGCTTTTGTCCATAACCTTTTTTTTTACCAAAAAACGCCTATAAAGTTGTGTTGCTCTTTTGAAGGGTATTGAATCTTCAAACACGTGCTAACCTGGGACATCTTGACACACTTTAAAACTGCACCCACAAAACTGTAGAAGTGCATCAAGCGATAAGCATATATTACCGCAAAAACGGCAAAATTTCTCATTTTTTTGTGTCTCCCGGATTTCGAGAAAATTTTCAATGACACAAAGCCTATTTTTTCCCAGCTCTTGCAAATAGAGAAATCTTACGTTGTTTTCACGTATTTTTTTCCTTATTATCTATTTTTTCTGCTATTATCGATCGTCCACTTTTTCTCAAGACAATCTAATTCGAAACATTTCAGACTCGCAAATTGGAGATATGTTGGAAACCACTCATTGTCCAAACAACGAGCACCAATCACTCTGCCGCGATCCACAAAACGGGGAAGCGAACCCGGTAGGCCTTCCGATCGGTATAACGAAGATTCAGTAGGTCAGACCAATTTATCGGGGCAGCAATTCGTTTAGGAATGAACTCATCTCTCTTCTGCACTCGATTTGATTCTTTGATTTCTTGGCTGTGATAGAATCGTTTAGATTTCGATTCAGGTTCTGAAAAGAAATCTGTCGACAAATGGAAGCAAACCGTTGGAACAAGTACACCAAACCAAGTAATTTTTTTATTTTCACAGAAATATTACTTGATGGAATATGAAGCACATTATTTGTAGACAAAGGATGTTGGGCTA